TCATTTCCAGTTGAAAATCTTATAATTATCAATTATACCTTTTTAAAAACCAAGCCTTTTATACTATTTATGAACAAAATTACAGTGACAATTTATCTCATCAAGTTAGTCTATGACTTTCCAAAGCGAATATTTACAGGAGACCACTTTATTCTGACATTGCCTGGTGCATCTTCCACTCAAATCTTCTCATTAAACAAGAACTTGTTGTTTAGGTATCATCTTTATTTGTGTTAAGGCACATGTTGGAAGCAAAAGTTAATTTCAGTGAAGAAAACTTCCATTGCTGCTATTTTTTACAGCTCCAAAAGGGATGAAGCTTTTCCTCCAGAAGCGTCTCCACAGCCCCGCCTGGATCGTGCTAAATCTCCAACACAGACCTCTTCAAGCTCCTTAGCTCTGTAATGAAATGACAATGAAACGACCTCACTGTTCATCCTATTAGCAGTTAAAGATCTTTGTCATCCACATATACAAAAAATAACAAAACAAAAGGGCAATAATTGCAATCACTGTCTGGTTCATCAGTCCACAGTGGCTGATAATCCAATAAGTAATTACAGTCTCACAACAGTGTATTATCATGCTGTAAAGGCTGATTGTAATGACTGTATGGAGGTTTTAATTACACCACGGATGCTTGAATCAAACAAAGAGGAATTTATTATAATTTCAGACCTGTTGAAATATTATTGTTATTCAAAGGGAGGGGTGTGCAGTCTGACTGAACCACAGCAGATAAGCGGTTATAATAATGGCAATGTGCGATTGCCACACTTGTGATTGTGACCATAATCAGACCATGGTTATTTTTACCAACAAGAAGGCTCTTCTAACGGACCCTCAACAGACCCCACAAATTGCTCTATTGTTTTAATATTTGCTTGGGAGTGATTGAGGCCAAAATATTCCACCATATTAACAGAAATATCGATTCCTCATAGCCTGCTGCATGTTGGCTGCCCAGAGTGTCAACATATAACGCCATGGCTACCTCCAAGGTATAATTTCTGGATGTTTTTTCTTTTTTTTACTTCAAGGATGCATGATGTGTAACAGTCAAAATTTGTGTTGTGGTGAGCAAAATCAGTCTGCTTAGAGTGATGGTTGGGGTCACTGACACTATAAACAAACAGTATTTCATACCACAAGCAAACACTGACACCTGTAAACCCTGTTAACAACTCTAAACAGTCTATTACAGGCTCAAGGTCAATATGAAATCAGATTGCTTACATTTTATTACGGCTTTCCAATTGGGACATATAACGAATGGAATATGGTTGGTACCTTATTTTCTTCCAAAATAAATCACTCAAAACCTCGACATAACTTGGCTCAAGGGCCATGACAAACATGTAAGGGAGACAGGTAATACTAACAAAAGTGGCTTACTTATTGCAAAAAGTAAACCAAATAAGTTGTCAGTGTGTTAGTTCGGTCAGTGGTGTGAATGTGGATTTGTGTGTACATGTTAAGGCTGGGATGGGTTTGGTAAAATAAGAGAGCGCACAGCAGCAAGGTTGGGCTTTTAACTCTACCACAGCCAGGCTCAGGTGATCCAAATCAACATCCTCAACAGCACCCAGGTATTTCTGCAATAAAGCGGGGGAGACAGGACAGGTTAGGCATAGCTGGGCAGAGGAATAACTGCAGCAGAGCCGTCACAAACTTAACATAAAAAACAAGGATAACTAATAATATATATGTTGACAACCGTAACGGCATACTACTTATACATTTATATTTGCACAAAAGACTGACTGCACTGACAGTACATGCCCTTGTATTAATCGAAGTCTCTTGTAGTGGAAAATTTAATAGAGCAGTTGTTTGTGAGTTATCATGAAGTAACGCTGTGCTCAGGCAGTTATTATGAAGAAACGCAGCTTTGTTTCAGTTATCAGGTAGAAACACTCTTGGTTTTCATTTCAATCAGCTGCTGTTTGCATTAGCCTTGAATTCACACCTGCCTTAAGCTCACACACGTGAGGAGACACATACCCACTCAGTATTTTTCCACCAAGCCATATGACACGTTCAGTTTTTTTTTTTCTGCAAAAGTATAAAACTCACAATTGATTTGTAGTCTGTGGACTCTTTTGCATGCTTAATAAATCTCACAAAGACAAGTCTTGACTCAATAAAAAATGTCCACAACACCTTTATAAAAATTGGTCACTGGTTTAACAGCAGCATTAAAAAGAATTCTGAAGATTCTATATATATTTATATATACAAAGCTATACATACATAGCTGAGTGGTTGTAGAGGTACAATGCACCAGCTCTTCAGTCTGTTGTACATTCATACAGTAAATGTGACACTTCTGGGACACACATACACACACATTCCTCTCTGAATCTCAGTCAATCTATGCCACACTTTATTCACTCTTTCACAACCATTATAACAAGCTCTATGCATGGGAGACAGTCCTAGTACCATAACAAATACCCTGAATGATGACATGCCTGCAGTTCCTCGCTTCAATCAACTCGATTTCTCACCAATTACTTCTCTCCTCCTTCACTCGAATGCTACTTTTTTTAATCATATCAACTGAAACAAAGTGTCAGCAGATAGTAGACCCTATTAGACAGAAGAGCAAAAACTGAGAGAATAACACAACAAGTAATTCAACTGTTTGCAGAGATGAGGTGGTGATGTTTAAAGTTATTTTATCGAAACTGCTCATTTCTGACAAATTGGTCATGAGTTTTTCATTGTTTTAGTGACATGAGCGAACATTAGCAAAGTGATGCTTAACAGATCCAGTTTTTCTCATGGTGAACAGAGTATTAAGATGACACTAAAATGATTTTAAAGTCATTACAGAGAGATTTTTGCCATATTGTCAAAAAAAAAATTAATTCATAGTTGATTAAAATTCTGACGAAACATTAGCAGTACCCCTGAAAGCAGCACTAACTGAGATGTTTCACGTTTACTTTGTTGTAAACTAATGTAACGGTGAGCCATGTCCAGCAAAAAACTGGCAACTTTGGCGTCAGTCTTCAAACATAAATCCGCGCATTAGAATTTTTCATATATGATGTTGACCCTTATTTCTGCCATCTTCTGTCCAGATTTCGTTTTTTGCTAAGTGTATTTAAAGCCTATGATAACCAGACTTCAGCCTACATCTGTGAGTTACTAACTCCCACTGTGCCTGACTGCTGCCTGAGGTCTTCTAGCAGAGCCGTACTTGTATAAACTCAATCTCACTTGGTCGTAAGAGGTGACTGAACATCCACAGTTCAGGCTCCAGTGCATGAAAGTCTATGCCTGAGGATGTCAGAAAGACAAGCTTAACATCCTCTTCTAAATCTCTCCTCAAAACTAACTTTTCCATCTTATTTAGTTTTATTTCTTTTATATACTTCTTGTCCTACTCGTTTCTAATGTGGTTTGTTCTCATATGTAAAGCACTTTGTGACTAGTTTTTGAAAAGTTCTTCAAAAGTGTGTGTGTTTATATTCATTAGAAATCAGTGTGTTTCTTGTGTGTGACTATGTTAATGTTGAGTGTGCGCTGCACTAAACCTTGCAGAATGCACGAGCAAGCACACACACACACACACACACACACACACACACACACACACACACACACACACACACACACACACACACACACACACACACAGCAGGGTGTTTGCCATACACCCAAATCAGAGATAGCATTCACACCCCGCAGAGTGATGGATTGAAGTGAGAAATTATGTTTGCATATTTGTAAGCCTGTGTGTATGGATCTTTGTGTTTTTCTCTTTCGTAACAACATTTAAGTATGTAGCCTTTGAAAAAAAATCTTTCCAGGGAAACTTATTTTAGCTGCACTTTCTATGCCTATAGGCCGCTAAAGCTTCATCAAAGTCCAGCAGACCCACTGGTGATGCAAAACCAACGAGAAGAGGCAGCAGCAGAGATCAAACTAGAGAGAGAGAGAGAGAGATCCAAACCTAGTGATAGATCTACCTGAATCAATGAGAGATGAAATGAAATGTTTCATCTCTGTTAGAAGAAAAATAAGAGAGAGAGAGTGAGGGAATGCACTCATGTCTAATTCTGCTCTGAACACCCACTAAGTCCTGATCACGCCAAAGGATTCAGGGAAGGACGACTTGTTCTGTCTACCTGCTTGTATCATGCCGGAGCATCCTGCATGGCTGCATTACATTTTTTCAGCAGCATGTTTGTTTCTGTGTGTGTGTGTGTGTGTGTGTGTGTGTGTGTGTGTGTGTGTGTGTTTGTGTGTGTGTGTGTTACACGTAGAGGAATAGGGTGGAGGGTGAGCCATATGCCAGTCCATATGGGTCTGCAGGGGTTCTGCTCCATCTGCCCGGGGGAAAGTAAACATGTCTGAATCACACACTAACACACGAGTAAACACTGAGCCAAGATGCCACTGTTGATGACACCATTTGATAAATTCCCTCTGCCCCCATAGAGAATGGTCGGGGAAGCTGGTCATGTATTGTCTTGAAACAATTAGTATTCCTTATGTGCACCACATACAAATAAGACTGCTGTACTCTGTGATACACAAGAGTACCTGAAATCCTGATCAGTTTTTTTTCTGGTAGTATAATATATTATTTGGGGTGATGTACAACAAATAATCTATAAGGCACACTGTATATCTGTTGAAATTTGAGTATAAATATCAGAAGCACATTTGTACTGTATTTAGCACTTTGTGATTTAAACAAATATAGCAACACAAACATGCAATGACAGCCAAAAGCAAATGCAGGAATACATCTCTTGTAGGGCGTGTTCATGTGTTTTGCTGAGTAAAGTGGTATTTCTGTACGAGTCCTGGCTGCCTACCACATTTCAGTTTACAAACCGCAGATTCCTTCATACCTTTTTTATGACCGACATTGTGTTGGTCAGCTGGCTGACATCTATTGCTTGGCAAAATTTTGGGCCAGATTGTCACTGCTTCTTTCATCTGCAAGCTGCTCCTCGTCTTTGGCCTGTCAATGTCCACAGGAGGAGGTGAATGATCCTTGAAGTATCATGCTGCTCTTTCTCCAATCTACTTAACCTTATTACAGTAATTTCATGTCACATCAACCATCTGTGACAGTAACTTGGCAGAACTGGAGGGTATTGGGGAGTGGCTGTTGAATAATACATTAGGGTTAGTTGCAGGTTGGTATATTCAAACACCAAGCCACTTTTTTACTCACACTCAGAGAGGTAATTTGCTCAAACGTAGCAATTGAAATGGAACACAAGTAATCCCCCTCTATTTTTTCTCTTAAATTCTCAGTAACCATGGATGGCGTACGCTTAAATTAAAGTTAACCAGGTCAAATACAATCTTTTCATCTTGCTGGTGATTGCTGCTGTGTACTCATAAAATAGAAAATCCTTCTTTCTCCATTCCTGGCCAAGAAAGAAAACAAATGACTTTGTGAAAATGCAAATTCTGCCTAGGCCTAAGGTCATTGCTCAACATGATATTAATGGAAACCTGAGAAACAACATTCTTAACCAATCAGAGCCCATAGATAGAGACCATGTGATGATATGTTATTGGTTTAGAGACTGGCATGCCAATATGTGGTGATTGATTACAGAGGGAATAGTGTGTAGGTTTGTGCATGGGCACATACCGCATACTAACATTAGCTTGGCTTCACAGTAAATACATCTTTATTTAATATACACCATCAAAAGCTGATAGGGTTACACTGTAACCGTCAAAGTATACAGACATATACAGATGCAAGTGTGTCTGTGAGTGAGTGTCAGAATACTGTATCCTAGTGTGTGCATGCAGTCTTTGACTAGAGATCCTTGGTGCAATTTACCCTTTAACATAACTCTGCAAACCTTCTCAATCATCCAATCATCTTTTTATTTTCCTACACATAGCACCAACATAACACCTTCCTCCCTTGGTAAGCAGTCTGACTGTATCTCACCATTGTTTCATTTGCTTTTACAGCTACCTCGGTCACATCTTCAGTGACATCAGTGTCACGCCACCTGTTTACTTACTGCTTATGCATTAGGAGTGTTTCAGAGCAACCTTGATGATAAATGTATCCGTGACTCCATTCAGCCACACCAGGAAGGAAAATGTCTGAAAAGTCTCTTTAGGTGCTCAATACCTCGAATTCTGCTTTCACTTCTGGTTGAGGATGGCAGGCAGAGTTCGCAGTATCATTAACCTATGTATTGAATTTCATTATACTGAAGTGACATCTATTTCTCATTCATTGAAGCTCTTAATAGATTCATGCTCATGGTAAGTTTGCTTCCCAGCCGGTAGATCTATACCTCGGTATGACAGATGTTAATAAATCAGGTCACCTGGGCTCACTGGATTTTGTATCTCAACTCAATTTAGTCAATAAACCAACGCAGCTCCATCACCAATATACAGTCACCAGCCACTTTATAAGGTACTCCTCGCTAGTGCGGGGTTGGACCTCCCTTAGCCTTCGAAACTGCTTCCATTCTTTGCAGCATACTCTCAACAAGACATTTGAAACATTCCTCATAGATTTTTTATCTATATTAACTCAACAGCATCATGCAGACGCTGCAAATTTGTCGGCTGCACATCCATGATATGAATCTCCCATTCCACCACATTGAGAAGGTGCTCTATTGGATTAAGATCCGGTGACTGTGAAGGCCACTGGAGTACACTCTCATGTTAAAGAGACCAGTCCGAGATGATTTGAGCTTTTTTCTTATCTTCTGTTGTCCAGTTTTGGTGAACCTATGTGACTTGCAGTCTCAGTTTCCTGTTCGTAGCTGACAAGATAGGCATCCGGGTGTGGTCAGCGATTGAACAGTTGTAGGTAAATAAAGGCCAGTGAGTGTATGTTTGTAAAGCCAGATCCCGGATTGTTGTAGACCGAGGCTTAACAATAAAACCCTAAACATTCATGCATCACTATATTGAGTTAATATCGAACAATAAACTGTGCTTGTGTCCAGTAGCATGTGTTTTGAAAGCTAAAACTAATTTCAGCCTGCTGAGGAACTTCAACAGTGATATGAACCTCACCACGAAAACTTGACCGTTGGCCCTGGAGCACTTTAGATAATGTTGCGCCATGCTGTTTCTTTCCAGCCTTACAGTATGAGTGATGAGTTAACAGTTTGCTGTGTGTGTATATAAATATCTCATTAGTGTCTGTGCGTGCTAATAAAATATGCAGGCTCAGTAATGGTGCCCTGTAGTACAGAGTTTACCATAGATGCTACCATGTTTTAAAGCCTCAAAGAGACATGTTCCCCTCAAACTGAGATTTGGATTTTGTGCCTGATTTACAAATATGTACATTTTTTTTCAAAAATCTGCTCCTCGGGAATGTGTGATTTCTCATTTTGTATTCTCATACATCCATCGACTTCACAGAGATGAGATTTCCGTCCGTCAGCCAGATGAATGATGAGAAATCCCTCCTAAAGAAAGACAGTTCTGCTCAGTGTCTGTCTCCAGCCCCATGCTGTGAATAGATAGTTTAACCCTAACCCTAACCCTAACCCTAGCCCCAACCCTAACCCTAACACTATCTCTAACCCTAACCCTAACCCTAGCTCCAACCCTAACCCTAACCCTAACCCTAACCCTAGCTCCAACCTTAAACCTAACCCTAACCCTAGCTCCAACCCTAACCCTAACCCTAACCCATGCATTCCTATGGGAAAAAATCAAATTTTTTTAGGAACGTCCTAGAGACTCGGGAGTTGGTTCATTGCACTCAGAAAAATCCTAGCTCCAAGCCCAACCCTAACCCTAGCTCCAACACTAACCCTAACTCCAACCCTAACCCTAACCCTAACCCTAGCTCCAACCCTAACCCTAACCCTAACCCATGCATTCCTATGGAAAAAATCAAATTTTTTTAGGAACGTCCTAGAGACTCGGGAGTTGTTTCATTGCACTCAGAAAAATCCTAGCTCCAAGCCCAACCCTAACCCTAGCTCCAACACTAACCCTAACTCCAACCCTAACCCTAACCCTAACCCTAGCTCCAACCCTAACCCTAACCCTAACCCATGCATTCCTATGGGAAAAAATCAAATTTTTTTAGGAACGTCCTAGAGACTCGGGAGTTGGTTCATTGCACTCAGAAAAATCCTAGCTCCAAGCCCAACCCTAACCCTAGCTCCAACACTAACCCTAACTCCAACCCTAACCCTAACCCTAACCCTAGCTCCAACCCTAACCCTAACCCTAACCCATGCATTCCTATGGAAAAAATCAAATTTTTTTTAGGAACGTCCTAGAGACTCGGGAGTTGGTTCATTGCACTCAGAAAAATCCTAGCTCCAAGCCCAACCCTAACCCTAGCTCCAACACTAACCCTAACTCCAACCCTAACCCTAACCCTAACCCTAGCTCCAACCCTAACCCTAACCCTAACCCATGCATTCCTATGGGAAAAAATCAAATTTTTTTAGGAACGTCCTAGAGACTCGGGAGTTGGTTCATTGCACTCAGAAAAATCCTAGCTCCAAGCCCAACCATAACCCTAGCTCCAACACTAACCCTAACTCCAACCCTAACCCTAACCCTAACCCTAACCCTAGCTCCAACCCTAACCCTAACCCTAACCCATGCATTCCTATGGAAAAAATCAAATTTTTTTAGGAACGTCCTAGAGACTCGGGAGTTGGTTCATTGCACTCAGAAAAATCCTAGCTCCAAGCCCAACCCTAACCCTAGCTCCGACACTAACCCTAACTCCAACCCTAACCCTAACCCTAACCCTAGCTCCAACCCTAACCCTAACCCTAACCCATGCATTCCTATGGGAAAAAATCAAGTTTTTTTAGGAACGTCCTAGAGACTCGGGAGTTGGTTCATTGCACTCAGAAAAATCCTAGCTCCAAGCCCAACCCTAACCCTAGCTCCAACACTAACCCTAACTCCAACCCTAACCCTAACCCATGCATTCCTATGGGAAAAAATCAAATTTTTTTAGGAACGTCCTAGAGACTCGGGAGTTGGTTCATTGCACTCAGAAAAATCCTAGCTCCAAGCCCAACCATAACCCTAGCTCCAACACTAACCCTAACTCCAACCCTAACCCTAACCCTAACCCTAGCTCCAACCCTAACCCTAACCCTAACCCATGCATTCCTATGGGAAAAAATCAAGTTTTTTTAGGAACGTCCTAGAGACTCGGGAGTTGGTTCATTGCACTCAGAAAAATCCTAGCTCCAAGCCCAACCATAACCCTAGCTCCAACACTAACCCTAAATCCAACCCTAACCCTAACCCTAACCCTAACCCTAGCTCCAACCCTAACCCTAACCCTAACCCATGCATTCCTATGGGAAAAAATCAAATTTTTTTAGGAACGTCCTAGAGACTCGGGAGTTGGTTCATTGCATTCAGAAAAATCCTAGTTCCAAGCCCAACCATAACCCTAGCTCCAACACTAACCCTAACTCCAACCCTAACCCTAACCCTAACCCTAGCTCCAACCCTAACCCTAACCCTAACCCTAACCCATGCATTCCTATGGGAAAAAATCAAATTTTTTTAGGAACATCCTAGAGACTCGGGAGTTGGTTCATTGCACTCAGAAAAATCCTAGCTCCAAGCCCAACCCTAACCCTAGCTCCAACACTAACCCTAACTCCAACCCTAACCCTAACCCTAACCCTAGCTCCAACCCTAACCCTAACCCTAACCCATGCATTCCTATGGGAAAAATCAAGTTTTTTTAGGAACGTCCTAGAGACTCGGGAGTTGGTTCATTGCACTCAGAAAAATCCTAGCTCCAAGCCCAACCATAACCCTAGCTCCAACACTAACCCTAACTCCAACCCTAACCCTAACCCTAACCCTAGCTCCAACCCTAACCCTAACCCTAACCCATGCATTCCTATGGGAAAAAATCAAATTTTTTTAGGAATGTCCTAGAGACTCGGGAGTTGGTTCATTGCACTCAGAAAGATCCTAGCTCCAAGCCCAATCATAACCCTAGCTCCAACACTAACCCTAACTCCAACCCTAACCCTAACCCTAACCCTAGCTCCAACCCTAACCCTAACCCTAACCCATGCATTCCTATGGGAAAAAATCAAATTTTTTTAGGAACGTCCTAGAGACTCGGGAGTTGGTTCATTGCACTCAGAAAAATCCTAGCTCCAAGCCCAACCATAACCCTAGCTCCAACACTAACCCTAACTCCAACCCTAACCCTAACCCTAACCCTAGCTCCAACCCTAACCCTAACCCTAACCCGAACCCATGCATTCCTATGGGAAAAAAATCAAATTTTTTTAGGAATGTCCTAGAGACTCGGGAGTTGGTTCATTGCACTCAGAAAAATAATAGCTCCAAGCCCAACCATAACCCTAGCTCCAACACAAACCCTAACTACAACCCTAACCCTAACCCTAACCCTAGCTCCAACCCTAACCCTAACCCTAACCCATGCATTCCTATGGGAAAAAATCAAATTTTTTTAGGAACGTCCTAGAGACTCGGGAGTTGGTTCATTGCACTCAGAAAAATCCTAGCTCCAAGCCCAACCCTAACCCTACCTCCAACACAAACCCTAACTCCAACCCTAACCCTAACCCTAACCCTAGCTCCAACCCTAACCCTAACCCTAACCCATGCATTCCTATGGTAAAAAATCAAATTTTTTTAGGAACGTCCTAGAGACTCGGGAGTTGGTTCATTGCACTCAGAAAAATCCTAGCTCCAAGCCCAACCCTAACCCTAGCTCCAACACAAACCCTAACTCCAACCCTAACCCTAACCCTAACCCTAGCTCCAACCCTAACCCTAACCCTAACCCATGCATTCCTATGGGAAAAATCAAGTTTTTTTAGGAACGTCCTAGAGACTCGGGAGTTGGTTCATTGCACTCAGAAAAATCCTAGCTCCAAGCCCAACCCTAACCCTAGCTCCAACACTAACCCTAACTCCAACCCTAACCCTAACCCTAACCCTAGCTCCAACCCTAACCCTAACCCTAACCCATGCATTCCTATGGGAAAAAATCAAATTTTTTTAGGAACGTCCTAGAGACTCGAGAGTTGGTTCATTGCACTCAGAAAAATCCTAGCTCCAAGCCCAACCATAACCCTAGCTCCAACACAAACCCTAACTACAACCCTAACCCTAACCCTAACCCTAGCTCCAACCCTAACCCTAACCCTAACCCATGCATTCCTATGGGAAAAAATCAAATTTTTTTAGGAACGTCCTAGAGACTCGGGAGTTGGTTCATTGCACTCAGAAAAATCCTAGCTCCAAGCCCAACCATAACCCTAGCTCCAACACTAACCCTAACTCCAACCCTAACCCTAACCCTAACCCTAGCTCCAACCCTAACCCTAACCCTAACCCATGCATTCCTATGGGAAAAAATCAAGATTTTTTAGAAACGTCCTAGAGACTCGGGAGTTGGTTCATTGCACTCAGAAAAATCCTAGCTCCAAGCCCAACCATAACCCTAGCTCCAACACTAACCCTAACTCCAACCCTAACCCTAACCCTAACCCTAGCTCCAACCCTAACCCTAACCCTAACCCATGCATTCCTATGGGAAAAAATCAAATTTTTTTAGGAACGTCCTAGAGACTCGGGAGTTGGTTCATTGCACTCAGAAAAATCCTAGTTCCAAGCCCAACCAGAACCCTAACTCCAACCCTAACCCTAACCCTAACCCTAGCTCCAACCCTAACCCTAACCCTAACCCATGCATTCCTATGGGAAAAAATCAAGATTTTTTAGAAACGTCCTAGAGACTCGGGAGTTGGTTCATTGCACTCAGAAAAATCCTAGCTCCAAGCCCAACCATAACCCTAGCTCCAACACTAACCCTAACTCCAACCCTAACCCTAACCCTAACCCTAGCTCCAACCCTAACCCTAACCCTAACCCATGCATTCCTATGGGAAAAAATCAAATTTTTTTAGGAACGTCCTAGAGACTCGGGAGTTGGTTCATTGCACTCAGAAAAATCCTAGTTCCAAGCCCAACCAGAACCCTAGCTCCAACACTAACCCTAACTCCAACCCTAACCCTAACCCTAACCCTAGCTCCAACCCTAACCCTAACCCTAACCCGAACCCATGCATTCCTATGGGAAAAAATCAAATTTTTTTAGGAATGTCCTAGAGACTCGGGAGTTGGTTCATTGCACTCAGAAAAATCCTAGCTCCAAGCCCAACCATAACCCTAGATCCAACACTAACCCTAACTCCAACCCTAACCCTAACCCTAACCCTAGCTCCAACCCTAACCCTAACCCTAACCCATGCATTCCTATGGGAAAAAATCAAATTTTTTTAGGAACGTCCTAGAGACTCGGTAGTTGGTTCATTGCACTCAGAAAAATCCTAGCTCCAAGCCCAACCCTAACCCTAGCTCCAACACTAACCCTAACTCCAACCCTAACCCTAACCCTAACCCTAGCTCCAACCCTAACCCTAACCCTAACCCATGCATTCCTATGGGAAAAAATCAAATTTTTTTAGGAACGTCCTAGAGACTCGGGAGTTGGTTCATTGCACTCAGAAAAATCCTAGCTCCAAGCCCAACCATAACCCTAGCTCCAACACAAACCCTAACTACAACCCTAACCCTAACCCTAACCCTAGCTCCAACCCTAACCCTAACCCTAACCCATGCATTCCTATGGGAAAAAATCTAATTTTTTTAGGAACGTCCTAGAGACTCGGGAGTTGGTTCATTGCACTCAGAAAAATCCTAGCTCCAAGCCCAACCATAACCCTAGCTCCAACACTAACCCTAACTCCAACCCTAACCCTAACCCTAACCCTAGCTCCAACCCTAACCCTAACCCTAACCCATGCATTCCTATGGGAAAAAATCAAGATTTTTTAGGAACGTCCTAGAGACTCGGGAGTTGGTTCATTGCGCTCAGAAAAATCCTAGCTCCAAGCCCAACCATAACCCTAGCTCCAACACTAACCCTAACTCCAACCCTAACCCTAACCCTAACCCTAGCTCCAACCCTAACCCTAACCCTAACCCATGCATTCCTATGGGAAAAAATCAAATTTTTTTAGGAACGTCCTAGAGACTCGGGAGTTGGTTCATTGCACTCAGAAAAATCCTAGTTCCAAGCCCAACCAGAACCCTAGCTCCAACACTAACCCTAACTCCAACCCTAACCCTAACCCTAACCCTAGCTCCAACCCTAACCCTAACCCTAACCCGAACCCATGCATTCCTATGGGAAAAAATCAAATTTTTTTAGGAATGTCCTAGAGACTCGGTAGTTGGTTCATTGCACTCAGAAAAATCCTAGCTCCAAGCCCAACCATAACCCTAGATCCAACACTAACCCTAACTCCAACCCTAACCCTAACCCTAACCCTAGCTCCAACCCTAACCCTAACCCTAACCCATGCATTCCTATGGGAAAAAATCAAATTTTTTTAGGAACGTCCTAGAGACTCGGTAGTTGGTTCATTGCACTCAGAAAAATCCTAGCTCCAAGCCCAACCCTAACCCTAGCTCCAACACTAACCCTAACTCCAACCCTAACCCTAACCCTAACCCTAGCTCCAACCCTAACCCTAACCCTAACCCATGCATTCCTATGGGAAAAAATCAAATTTTTTTAGGAACGTCCTAGAGACTCGGGAGTTGGTTCATTGCACTCAGAAAAATCCTAGCTCCAAGCCCAACCCTAACCCTAGCTCCAACACTAACCCTAACTCCAACCCTAACCCTAACCCTAACCCTAGCTCCAACCCTAACCCTAACCCTAACCCATGCATTCCTATGGGAAAAATCAAGTTTTTTTAGGAACGTCCTAGAGACTCGGGAGTTGGTTCATTGCACTCAGAAAAATCCTAGCTCCAAGCCCAACCCTAACCCTAGCTCCAACACTAACCCTAACTCCAACCCTAACCCTAACCCTAACCCTAGCTCCAACCCTAACCCTAACCCTAACCCTAACCCATGCATTCCTATGGGAAAAAATCAAATTTTTTTAGGAATGTCCTAGAGACTCGGGAGTTGGTTCATTGCACTCAGAAAGATCCTAGCTCCAAGCCCAATCATAACCCTAGCTCCAACACTAACCCTAACTCCAACCCTAACCCTAACCCTAACCCTAGCTCCAACCCTAACCCTAACCCTAACCCATGCATTCCTATGGGAAAAAATCAAATTTTTTTAGGAACGTCCTAGAGACTCGGGAGTTGGTTCATTGCACTCAGAAAAATCCTAGCTCCAAGCCCAACCATAACCCTAGCTCCAACACAAACCCTAACTACAACCCTAACCCTAACCCTAACCCTAGCTCCAACCCTAACCCTAACCCTAACCCATGCATTCCTATGGGAAAAAATCAAATTTTTTTAGGAACGTCCTAGAGACTCGGGAGTTGGTTCATTGCACTCAGAAAAATCCTAGCTCCAAGCCCAACCATAACCCTAGCTCCAACACAAACCCTAACTACAACCCTAACCCTAACCCTAACCCTAGCTCCAACCCTAACCCTAACCCTAACCCATGCATTCCTATGGGAAAAAATCAAATTTTTTTAGGAACGTCCTAGAGACTCGGGAGTTGGTTCATTGCACTCAGAAAAATCCTAGCTCCAAGCCCAACCATAACCCTAGCTCCAACACTAACCCTAACTCCAACCCTAACCCTAACCCTAACCCTAGCTCCAACCCTAACCCTAACCCTAACCCATGCATTCCTATGGGAAAAAATCAAGATTTTTTAGAAACGTCCTAGAGACTCGGGAGTTGGTTCATTGCACTCAGAAAAATCCTAGCTCCAAGCCCAACCATAACCCTAGCTCCAACACTAACCCTAACTCCAACCCTAACCCTAACCCTAACCCTAGCTCCAACCCTAACCCTAACCCTAACCCATGCATTCCTATGGGAAAAAATCAAATTTTTTTAGGAACGTCCTAGAGACTCGGGAGTTGGTTCATTGCACTCAGAAAAATCCTAGTTCCAAGCCCAACCAGAACCCTAGCTCCAACACTAACCCTAACTCCAACCCTAACCCTAACCCTAACCCTAGCTCCAACCCTAACCCTAACCCTAACCCGAACCCATGCATTCCTATGGGAAAAAATCAAATTTTTTTAGGAATGTCCTAGAGACTCGGTAGTTGGTTCATTGCACTCAGAAAAATCCTAGCTCCAAGCCCAACCATAACCCTAGATCCAACACTAACCCTAACTCCAACCCTAACCCTAACCCTAACCCTAGCTCCAACCCTAACCCTAACCCTAACCCATGCATTCCTATGGGAAAAAATCAAATTTTTTTAGGAACGTCCTAGAGACTCGGTAGTTGGTTCATTGCACTCAGAAAAATCCTAGCTCCAAGCCCAACCCTAACCCTAGCTCCAACACTAACCCTAACTCCAACCCTAACCCTAACCCTAACCCTAGCTCCAACCCTAACCCTAACCCTAACCCATGCATTCCTATGGGAAAAAATCAAATTTTTTTAGGAACGTCCTAGAGACTCGGGAGTTGGTTCATTGCACTCAGAAAAATCCTAGCTCCAAGCCCAACCATAACCCTAGCTCCAACACAAACCCTAACTACAACCCTAACCCTAACCCTAACCCTAGCTCCAACCCTAACCCTAACCCTAACCCATGCATTCCTATGGGAAAAAATCAAATTTTTTTAGGAACGTCCTAGAGACTCGGGAGTTGGTTCATTGCACTCAGAAAAATCCTAGCTCCAAGCCCAACCATAACCCTAGCTCCAACACTAACCCTAACTCCAACCCTAACCCTAACCCTAACCCTAGCTCCAACCCTAACCCTAACCCTAACCCATGCATTCCTATGGGAAAAAATCAAGATTTTTTAGGAACGTCCTAGAGACTCGGGAGTTGGTTCATTGCACTCAGAAAAATCCTAGCTCCAAGCCCAACCATAACCCTAGCTCCAACACTAACCCTAACTCCAACCCTAACCCTAACCCTAACCCTAGCTCCAACCCTAACCCTAACCCTAACCCATGCATTCCTATGGGAAAAAATCAAATTTTTTTAGGAACGTCCTAGAGACTCGGGAGTTGGTTCATTGCACTCAGAAAAATCCTAGTTCCAAGCCCAACCAGAACCCTAGCTCCAACACTAACCCTAACTCCAACCCTAACCCTAACCCTAACCCTAGCTCCAACCCTAACCCTAACCCTAACCCGAACCCATGCATTCCTATGGGAAAAAATCAAATTTTTTTAGGAATGTCCTAGAGACTCGGTAGTTGGTTCATTGCACTCAGAAAAATCCTAGCTCCAAGCCCAACCATAACCCTAGATCCAACACTAACCCTAACTCCAACCCTAACCCTAACCCTAACCCTAGCTCCAACCCTAACCCTAACCCTAACCCATGCATTCCTATGGGAAAAAATCAAATTTTTTTAGGAACGTCCTAGAGACTCGGTAGTTGGTTCATTGCACTCAGAAAAATCCTAGCTCCAAGCCCAACCCTAACCCTAGCTCCAACACTAACCCTAACTCCAACCCTAACCCTAACCCTAACCCTAGCTCCAACCCTAACCCTAACCCTAACCCATGCATTCCTATGGGAAAAAATCAAATTTTTTTAGGAACGTCCTAGAGACTCGGGAGTTGGTTCATTGCACTCAGAAAAATCCTAGCTCCAAGCCCAACCCTAACCCTAGCTCCAACACTAACCCTAACTCCAACCCTAACCCTAACCCTAACCCTAGCTCCAACCCTAACCCTAACCCTAACCCATGCATTCCTATGGGAAAAATCAAGTTTTTTTAGGAACGTCCTAGAGACTCGGGAGTTGGTTCATTGCACTCAGAAAAATCCTAGCTCCAAGCCCAACCCTAACCCTAGCTCCAACACTAACCCTAACTCCAACCCTAACCCTAACCCTAACCCTAGCTCCAACCCTAACCCTAACCCTAACCCTAACCCATGCATTCCTATGGGAAAAAATCAAATTTTTTTAGGAATGTCCTAGAGACTCGGGAGTTGGTTCATTGCACTCAGAAAGATCCTAGCTCCAAGCCCAATCATAACCCTAGCTCCAACACTAACCCTAACTCCAACCCTAACCCTAACCCTAACCCTAGCTCCAACCCTAACCCTAACCCTAACCCATGCATTCCTATGGGAAAAAATCAAATTTTTTTAGGAACGTCCTAGAGACTCGGGAGTTGGTTCATTGCACTCAGAAAAATCCTAGCTCCAAGCCCAACCATAACCCTAGCTCCAACACTAACCCTAACTCCAACCCTAACCCTAACCCTAACCCTAGCTCCAACCTTAACCCTAACCCTAACCCATGCATTCCTATGGGAAAAAATCAAATTTTTTTAGGAACGTCCTAGAGACTCGGGAGTTGGTTCATTGCACTCAGAAAAATCCTAGCTCCAAGCCCAACCCTAACCCTAGCTCCAACACTAACCCTAACTCCAACCCTAACCCTAACCCTAACCCTAGCTCCAACACGAACCCTAACCCTAACCCTAACCCATGCATTCCTATGGGAAAAAATCAAATTTTTTTAGGAATGTCCTAGAGACTCGGGAGTTGGTTCATTGCACTCAGAAAAATCCTAGCTCCAAGCCCAATCATAACCCTAGCTCCAACACTAACCCTAACTCCAACCCTAACCCTAACCCTAACCCTAGCTCCAACCCTAACCCTAACCCTAACCCATGCATTCCTATGGGAAAAAATCAAATTTTTTTAGGAACGTCCTAGAGACTCGGGAGTTGGTTCATTGCACTCAGAAAAATCCTAGCTCCAAGCCCAACCATAACCCTAGCTCCAACACTAACCCTAACTCCAACCCTAACCCTAACCCTAACCCTAGCTCCAACACTAACCCTAACTCCAACCCTAACCCTAACCCTAACCCTAGCTCCAACCCTAACCCTAACCCTGACCCATGCATTCCTATGGAAAAAATCAAATTTTTTTTAGGAACGTCCTAGAGACTCGGGAGTTGGTTCATTGCACTCAGAAAAATCCTAGCTCCAAGCCCAACCCTAACCCTAGCTCCAACACTAACCCTAACTCCAACCCTAACCCTAACCCTAACCCTAGCTCCAACCCTAACCCTAACCCTAATCCTAGCTCCAACCCTAACCCTAACCCTAACCCATGCATTCCTATGGGAAAAAATCAAGTTTTTTTAGGAACGTCCTAGAGACTCGGGAGTTGGTTCATTGCACTCAGAAAAATCCTAGCTCCAAGCCCAACCATAACCCTAGCTCCAACACTAACCCTAACTCCAACCCTAACCCTAACCCTAACCCTAGCTCCAACCCTAACCCTAACCCTAACCCATGCATTCCTATGGGAAAAAATCAAATTTTTTTAGGAACGTCCTAGAGACTCGGGAGTTGGTTCATTGCACTCAGAAAAATCCTAGTTCCAAGCCCAACCAGAACCCTAGCTCCAACACTAACCCTAACTCCAACCCTAACCCTAACCCTAGCTCCAACCCTAACCCTAACCCTAACCCTAACCCATGCATTCCTATGGGAAAAAATCAATTTTTTTCAGGAATGTCCTAGAGACTCGGGAGTTGGTTCATTGCACTCAGAAAAATCCTAGCTCCAAGCCCAACCATAACCCTAGCTCCAACACTAACCCTAACTCCAACCCTAACCCTAACCCTAACCCTAGCTCCAACCCTAACCCTAACCCTAACCCTAGCTCCAACCCTAACCCTAACCCTAACCCATGCATTCCTATGGGAAAAATCAAGTTTTTTTAGGAACGTCCTAGAGACTCGGGAGTTGGTTCATTGCACTCAGAAAAATCCTAGCTCCAAGCCCAACCCTAACCCTAGCTCCAACACTAACCCTAACTCCAACCCTAACCCTAACCCTAACCCTAGCTCCAACACGAACCCTAACCCTAACCCTAACCCATGCATTCCTATGGGAAAAAATCAAATTTTTTTAGGAATGTCCTAGAGACTCGGGAGTTGGTTCATTGCACTCAGAAAAATCCTAGCTCCAAGCCCAATCATAACCCTAGCTCCAACACTAACCCTAACTCCAACCCTAACCCTAACCCTAACCCTAGCTCCAACCCTAACCCTAACCCTAACCCATGCATTCCTATGGGAAAAAATCAAATTTTTTTAGGAACGTCCTAGAGACTCGGGAGTTGGTTCATTGCACTCAGAAAAATCCTAGCTCCAAGCCCAACCATAACCCTAGCTCCAACACTAACCCTAACTCCAACCCTAACCCTAACCCTAACCCTAGCTCCAACCCTAACCCTAACCCTGACCCATGCATTCCTATGGAAAAAATCAAATTTTTTTTAGGAACGTCCTAGAGACTCGGGAGTTGGTTCATTGCACTCAGAAAAATCCTAGCTCCAAGCCCAACCCTAACCCTAGCTCCAACACTAACCCTAACTCCAACCCTAACCCTAACCCTAACCCTAGCTCCAACCCTAACCCTAACCCTAATCCTAGCTCCAACCCTAACCCTAACCCTAACCCATGCATTCCTATGGGAAAAAATCAAGTTTTTTTAGGAACGTCCTAGAGACTCGGGAGTTGGTTCATTGCACTCAGAAAAATCCTAGCTCCAAGCCCAACCATAACCCTAGCTCCAACACTAACCCTAACTCCAACCCTAACCCTAACCCTAACCCTAGCTCCAACCCTAACCCTAACCCTAACCCATGCATTCCTATGGGAAAAAATCAAATTTTTTTAGGAACGTCCTAGAGACTCGGGAGTTGGTTCATTGCACTCAGAAAAATCCTAGTTCCAAGCCCAACCAGAACCCTAGCTCCAACACTAACCCTAACTCCAACCCTAACCCTAACCCTAACCCTAGCTCCAACCCTAACCCTAACCCTAACCCTAACCCATGCATTCCTATGGGAAAAAATCAATTTTTTTCAGGAATGTCCTAGAGACTCGGGAGTTGGTTCATTGCACTCAGAAAAATCCTAGCTCCAAGCCCAACCATAACCCTAGCTCCAACACTAACCCTAACTCCAACCCTAACCCTAACCCTAACCCTAGCTCCAACCCTAACCCTAACCCTAACCCATGCATTCCTATGGGAAAAAATCAAATTTTTTTAGGAACGTCCTAGAGACTCGGGAGTTGGTTCATTGCACTCAGAAAAATCCTAGCTCCAAGCCCAACCATAACCCTAGCTCCAACACTAACCCTAACTCCAACCCTAACCCTAACCCTAACCCTAGCTCCAACCTTAACCCTAACCCTAACCCATGCATTCCTATGGGAAAAAATCAAATTTTTTTAGGAACGTCCTAGAGACTCGGGAGTTGGTTCATTGCACTCAGAAAAATCCTAGCTCCAAGCCCAACCCTAACCCTAGCTCCAACACTAACCCTAACTCCAACCCTAACCCTAACCCTAACCCTAGCTCCAACCCTAACCCTAACCCTAACCCTAACCCATGCATTCCTATGGGAAAAAATCAAATTTTTTTAGGAATGTCCTAGAGACTCGGGAGTTGGTTCATTGCACTCAGAAAGATCCTAGCTCCAAGCCCAATCATAACCCTAGCTCCAACACTAACCCTAACTCCAACCCTAACCCTAACCCTAACCCTAGCTCCAACCCTAACCCTAACCCTAACCCATGCATTCCTATGGGAAAAAATCAAATTTTTTTAGGAACGTCCTAGAGACTCGGGAGTTGGTTCATTGCACTCAGAAAAATCCTAGCTCCAAGCCCAACCATAACCCTAACCCTAACCCTAGCTCCAACCCTAACCCTAACCCTGACCCATGCATTCCTATGGAAAAAATCAAATTTTTTTTAGGAACGTCCTAGAGACTCGGGAGTTGGTTCATTGCACTCAGAAAAATCCTGGCTCCAAGCCCAACCCTAACCCTAGCTCCAACACTAACCCTAACTCCAACCCTAACCCTAACCCTAACCCTAGCTCCAACCCTAACCCTAACCCTAATCCTAGCTCCAACCCTAACCCTAACCCTAACCCATGCATTCCTATGGGAAAAAATCAAGTTTTTTTAGGAACGTCCTAGAGACTCGGGAGTTGGTTCATTGCACTCAGAAAAATCCTAGCTCCAAGCCCAACCATAACCCTAGCTCCAACACTAACCCTAACTCCAACCCTAACCCTAACCCTAACCCTAGCTCCAACCCTAACCCTAACCCTAACCCATGCATTCCTATGGGAAAAAATCAAATTTTTTTAGGAACGTCCTAGAGACTCGGGAGTTGGTTCATTGCACTCAGAAAAATCCTAGTTCCAAGCCCAACCAGAACCCTAGCTCCAACACTAACCCTAACTCCAACCCTAACCCTAACCCTAACCCTAGCTCCAACCCTAACCCTAACCCTAACCCTAACCCTAACCCATGCATTCCTATGGGAAAAAATCAAATTTTTTTAGGAATGTCCTAGAGACTCGGGAGTTGGTTCATTGCACTCAGAAAAATCCTAGCTCCAAGCCCAACCATAACCCTAGCTCCAACACTAACCCTAACTCCAACCCTAACCCTAACCCTAACCCTAGCTCCAACCCTAACCCTAACCCTAACCCATGCATTCCTATGGGAAAAAATCAAATTTTTTAGGAACGTCCTAGAGACTCGGGAGTTGGTTCATTGCACTCAGAAAAATCCTAGCTCCAAGCCCAACCATAACCCTAGCTCCAACACTAACCCTAACTCCAACCCTAACCCTAACCCTAGCTCCAACCCTAACCCTAACCCTAACCCATGCATTCCTATGGGAAAAAATCAAATTTTTTTAGGAACGTCCTAGAGACTCGGGAGTTGGTTCATTGCACTCAGAAAAATCCTAGCTCCAAGCCCAACCATAACCCTAGCTCCAACACTAACCCTAACTCCAACCCTAACCCTAACCCTAGCTCCAACCCTAACCCTAACCCTAACCCATGCATTCCTATGGGAAAAAATCAAATTTTTTTAGGAACGTCCTAGAGACTCGGGAGTTGGTTCATTGCACTCAGAAAAATCCTAGCTCCAAGCCCAACCATAACCCTAGCTCCAACACTAACCCTAACTCCAACCCTAACCCTAACCCTAACCCTAGCTCCAACCTTAACCCTAACCCTAACCCATGCATTCCTATGGGAAAAAATCAAATTTTTTTAGGAACGTCCTAGAGACTCGGGAGTTGGTTCATTGCACTCAGAAAAATCCTAGCTCCAAGCCCAACCATAACCCTAGCTCCAACACTAACCCTAACTCCAACCCTAACCCTAACCCTAACCCTAGCTCCAACCTTAACCTTAACCCTAACCCATGCATTCCTATGGGAAAAAATCAAATTTTTTTAGGAACGTCCTAGAGACTCGGGAGTTGGTTCATTGCACTCAGAAAAATCCTAGCTCCAAGCCCAACCCTAACCCTAGCTCCAACACTAACCCTAACTCCAACCCTAACCCTAACCCTAACCCTAGCTCCAACCCTAACCCTAACCCTAACCCATGCATTCCTATGGGAAAAAATCAAATTTTTTTAGGAACGTCCTAGAGACTCGGGAGTTGGTTCATTGCACTCAGAAAAATCCTAGCTCCAAGCCCAACCATAACCCTAGCTCCAACACTAACCCTAACTCCAACCCTAACCCTAACCCTAGCTCCAACCCTAACCCTAACCCTAACCCATGCATTCCTATGGGAAAAAATCAAATTTTTTTAGGAACGTCCTAGAGACTCGGGAGTTGGTTCATTGCACTCAGAAAAATCCTAGCTCCAAGCCCAACCCTAACCCTACCTCCAACACAAACCCTAACTCCAACCCTAACCCTAACCCTAACCCTAGCTCCAACCCTAACCCTAACCCTAACCCATGCATTCCTATGGGAAAAAATCAAATTTTTTTAGGAACGTCCTAGAGACTTTCGGGAGTTGGTTCATTGCACTCAGAAAAATCCTAGCTCCAAGCCCAACTCTAACCCTAGCTCCAACACTAACCCCAACTCCAACCCTAACCCTAACCCTAACCCTAGCTCCAACCCTAACCCTAACCCTAACCCATGCATTCCTATGGGAAAAATCAAGTTTTTTTAGGAACGTCCTAGAGACTCGGGAGTTGGTTCATTGCACTCAGAAAAATCCTAGCTCCAAGCCCAACCCTAACCCTAGCTCCAACACTAACCCTAACTCCAACCCTAACCCTAACCCTAACCCTAGCTCCAACCCTAACCCTAACCCTAACCCATGCATTCCTATGGAAAAATCAAATTTTTTTAGGAACGTCCTAGAGACTCGGGAGTTGGTTCATTGCACTCAGAAAAATCCTAGCTCCAAGCCCAACCCTAACCCTAGCTCCAACCCTAACCCTAACTCCAACCCTAACCCTAACCCTAACCCTAGCTCCAACCCTAACCCTAACCCTAACCCATGCATTCCTATGGGAAAAATCAAGTTTTTTTAGGAACGTCCTAGAGACTCGGGAGTTGGTTCATTGCACTCAGAAAAATCCTAGCTCCAAGCCCAACCCTAACCCTAGCTCCAACACTAACCCTAACTCCAACCCTAACCCTAACCCTAACCCTAGCTCCAACCCTAACCCTAACCCTAACCCTAACCCATGCATTCCTATGGGAAAAAATCAAATTTTTTTAGGAACGTCCTAGAGACTCGGGAGTTGGTTCATTGCACTCAGAAAAATCCTAGCTCCAAGCCCAACCCTAACCCTAGCTCCAACACTAACCCTAACTCCAACCCTAACCCTAACCCTAACCCTAGCTCCAACCCTAACCCTAACCCTGACCCATGCATTCCTATGGAAAAAATCAAATTTTTTTAGGAACGTCCTAGAGACTCGGGAGTTGGTTCATTGCACTCAGAAAAATCCTAGCTCCAAGCCCAACCCTAACCCTAGCTCCAACACTAACCCTAACTCCAACCCTAACCCTAACCCTAACCCTAGCTCCAACCCTAACCCTAACCCTAACCCATGCATTCCTATGGGAAAAAATCAAATTTTTTTAGGAACGTCCTAGAGACTCGGGAGTTGGTTCATTGCACTCAGAAAAATCCTAGCTCCAAGCCCAACCATAACCCTAGCTCCAACACTAACCCTAACTCCAACCCTAACCCTAACCCTAACCCTAGCTCCAACCCTAACCCTAACCCTGACCCATGCATTCCTATGGGAAAAAATAAAATTTTTTTTAGGAACGTCCTAGAGACTCGGGAGTTGGTTCATTGCACTCAGAAAAATCCTAGCTCCAAGCCCAACCCTAACCCTAGCTCCAACACTAACCCTAACTCCAACCCTAACCCTAACCCTAACCCTAGCTCCAACCCTAACCCTGACCCTAATCCTAGCTCCAACCCTAACCCTAACCCTAACCCATGCATTCCTATGGGAAAAAATCAAGTTTTTTTAGGAACGTCCTAGAGACTCGGGAGTTGGTTCATTGCACTCAGAAAAATCCTAGCTCCAAGCCCAACCATAACCCTAGCTCCAACACTAACCCTAACTCCAACCCTAACCCTAACCCTAACCCTAGCTCCAACCCTAACCCTAACCCTAACCCATGCATTCCTATGGGAAAAAATCAAATTTTTTTAGGAACGTCCTAGAGACTCGGGAGTTGGTTCATTGCACTCAGAAAAATCCTAGTTCCAAGCCCAACCAGAACCCTAGCTCCAACACTAACCCTAACTCCAACCCTAACCCTAACCCTAACCCTAGCTCCAACCCTAACCCTAACCCTAACCCTAACCCATGCATTCCTATGGGAAAAAATCAATTTTTTTCAGGAATGTCCTAGAGACTCGGGAGTTGGTTCATTGCACTCAGAAAAATCCTAGCTCCAAGCCCAACCATAACCCTAGCTCCAACACTAACCCTAACTCCAACCCTAACCCTAACCCTAACCCTAGCTCCAACCCTAACCCTAACCCTAACCCATGCATTCCTATGGGAAAAAATCAAATTTTTTTAGGAACGTCCTAGAGACTCGGGAGTTGGTTCATTGCACTCAGAAAAATCCTAGTTCCAAGCCCAACCAGAACCCTAGCTCCAACACTAACCCTAACTCCAACCCTAACCCTAACCCTAACCCTAGCTCCAACCCTAACCCTAACCCTAACCCTAACCCTAACCCATGCATTCCTATGGGAAAAAATCAAATTTTTTTAGGAATGTCCTAGAGACTCGGGAGTTGGTTCATTGCACTCAGAAAAATCCTAGCTCCAAGCCCAACCATAACCCTAGCTCCAACACTAACCCTAACTCCAACCCTAACCCTAACCCTAACCCTAGCTCCAACCCTAACCCTAACCCTAACCCATGCATTCCTATGGGAAAAAATCAAATTTTTTTAGGAACGTCCTAGAGACTCGGGAGTTGGTTCATTGCACTCAGAAAAATCCTAGCTCCAAGCCCAACCATAACCCTAGCTCCAACACTAACCCTAACTCCAACCCTAACCCTAACCCTAGCTCCAACCCTAACCCTAACCCTAACCCATGCATTCCTATGGGAAAAAATCAAATTTTTTTAGGAACGTCCTAGAGACTCGGGAGTTGGTTCATTGCACTCAGAAAAATCCTAGCTCCAAGCCCAACCATAACCCTAGCTCCAACACTAACCCTAACTCCAACCCTAACCCTAACCCTAGCTCCAACCCTAACCCTAACCCTAACCCATGCATTCCTATGGGAAAAAATCAAATTTTTTTAGGAACGTCCTAGAGACTCGGGAGTTGGTTCATTGCACTCAGAAAAATCCTAGCTCCAAGCCCAACCATAACCCTAGCTCCAACACTAACCCTAACTCCAACCCTAACCCTAACCCTAACCCTAGCTCCAACCTTAACCCTAACCCTAACCCATGCATTCCTATGGGAAAAAATCAAATTTTTTTAGGAACGTCCTAGAGACTCGGGAGTTGGTTCATTGCACTCAGAAAAATCCTAGCTCCAAGCCCAACCATAACCCTAGCTCCAACACTAACCCTAACTCCAACCCTAACCCTAACCCTAACCCTAGCTCCAACCTTAACCTTAACCCTAACCCATGCATTCCTATGGGAAAAAATCAAATTTTTTTAGGAACGTCCTAGAGACTCGGGAGTTGGTTCATTGCACTCAGAAAAATCCTAGCTCCAAGCCCAACCCTAACCCTAGCTCCAACACTAACCCTAACTCCAACCCTAACCCTAACCCTAACCCTAGCTCCAACCCTAACCCTAACCCTAACCCATGCATTCCTATGGGAAAAAATCAAATTTTTTTAGGAACGTCCTAGAGACTCGGGAGTTGGTTCATTGCACTCAGAAAAATCCTAGCTCCAAGCCCAACCATAACCCTAGCTCCAACACTAACCCTAACTCCAACCCTAACCCTAACCCTAGCTCCAACCCTAACCCTAACCCTAACCCATGCATTCCTATGGGAAAAAATCAAATTTTTTTAGGAACGTCCTAGAGACTCGGGAGTTGGTTCATTGCACTCAGAAAAATCCTAGCTCCAAGCCCAACCCTAACCCTACCTCCAACACAAACCCTAACTCCAACCCTAACCCTAACCCTAACCCTAGCTCCAACCCTAACCCTAACCCTAACCCATGCATTCCTATGGGAAAAAATCAAATTTTTTTAGGAACGTCCTAGAGACTCGGGAGTTGGTTCATTGCACTCAGAAAAATCCTAGCTCCAAGCCCAACTCTAACCCTAGCTCCAACACTAACCATAACTCCAACCCTAACCCTAACCCTAACCCTAGCTCCAACCCTAACCCTAACCCTAACCCATGCATTCCTATGGGAAAAATCAAGTTTTTTTAGGAACGTCCTAGAGACTCGGGAGTTGGTTCATTGCACTCAGAAAAATCCTAGCTCCAAGCCCAACCCTAACCCTAGCTCCAACACTAACCCTAACTCCAACCCTAACCCTAACCCTAACCCTAGCTCCAACCCTAACCCTAACCCTAACCCATGCATTCCTATGGGAAAAATCAAGTTTTTTTAGGAACGTCCTAGAGACTCGGGAGTTGGTTCATTGCACTCAGAAAAATCCTAGCTCCAAGCCCAACCCTAACCCTAGCTCCAACACTAACCCTAACTCCAACCCTAACCCTAACCCTAACCCTAGCTCCAACCCTAACCCTAACCCTAACCCATGCATTCCTATGGGAAAAAATCAAATTTTTTTAGGAATGTCCTAGAGACTCGGGAGTTGGTTCATTGCACTCAGAAAGATCCTAGCTCCAAGCCCAATCATAACCCTAGCTCCAACACTAACCCTAACTCCAACCCTAACCCTAACCCTAACCCTAGCTCCAACCCTAACCCTAACCCTAACCCATGCATTCCTATGGGAAAAAATCAAATTTTTTTAGGAACGTCCTAGAGACTCGGGAGTTGGTTCATTGCACTCAGAAAAATCCTAGCTCCAAGCCCAACCATAACCCTAGCTCCAACACTAACCCTAACTCCAACCCTAACCCTAACCCTAACCCTAGCTCCAACCCTAACCCTAACACTAACCCATGCATTCCTATGGGAAAAAATCAAATTTTTTTAGGAACGTCCTAGAGACTCGGGAGTTGGTTCATTGCACTCAGAAAAATCCTAGCTCCAAGCCCAACCATAACCCTAGCTCCAACACTAACCCTAACTCCAACCCTAACCCTAACCCTAACCCTAGCTCCAACCTTAACCCTAACCCTAACCCATGCATTCCTATGGGAAAAAATCAAATTTTTTTAGGAACGTCCTAGAGACTCGGGAGTTGGTTCATTGCACTCAGAAAAATCCTAGCTCCAAGCCCAACCCTAACCCTAGCTCCAACACTAACCCTAACTCCAACCCTAACCCTAACCCTAACCCTAGCTCCAACCCTAACCCTAACCCTAACCCATGCATTCCTATGGAAAAAATCAAATTTTTTTTAGTAACGTCCTAGAGACTCGGGAGTTGGTTCATTGCACTCAGAAAAATCCTAGCTCCAAGCCCAACCCTAACCCTAGCTCCAACCCTAACCCTAACTCCAACCCTAACCCTAACCCTAACCCTAGCTCCAACCCTAACCCTAACCCTAACCCATGCATTCCTATGGGAAAAATCAAGTTTTTTTAGGAACGTCCTAGAGACTCGGGAGTTGGTTCATTGCACTCAGAAAAATCCTAGCTCCAAGCCCAACCCTAACCCTAGCTCCAACACTAACCCTAACTCCAACCCTAACCCTAACCCTAACCCTAGCTCCAACCCTAACCCTAACCCTAACCCTAACCCATGCATTCCTATGGGAAAAAATCAAATTTTTTTAGGAACGTCCTAGAGACTCGGGAGTTGGTTCATTGCACTCAGAAAAATCCTAGCTCCAAGCCCAACCCTAACCCTAGCTCCAACACTAACCCTAACTCCAACCCTAACCCTAACCCTAACCCTAGCTCCAACCCTAACCCTAACCCTGACCCATGCATTCCTATGGAAAAAATCAAATTTTTTTTAGGAACGTCCTAGAGACTCGGGAGTTGGTTCATTGCACTCAGAAAAATCCTAGCTCCAAGCCCAACCCTAACCCTAGCTCCAACACTAACCCTAACTCCAACCCTAACCCTAACCCTAACCCTAGCTCCAACCCTAACCCTAACCCTAACCCATGCATTCCTATGGGAAAAAATCAAATTTTTTTAGGAACGTCCTAGAGACTCGGGAGTTGGTTCATTGCACTCAGAAAAATCCTAGCTCCAAGCCCAACCATAACCCTAGCTCCAACACTAACCCTAACTCCAACCCTAACCCTAACCCTAACCCTAGCTCCAACCTTAACCCTAACCCTAACCCATGCATTCCTATGGGAAAAAATCAAATTTTTTTAGGAACGTCCTAGAGACTCGGGAGTTGGTTCATTGCACTCAGAAAAATCCTAGCTCCAAGCCCAACCATAACCCTAGCTCCAACACTAACCCTAACTCCAACCCTAACCCTAACCCTAACCCTAGCTCCAACCTTAACCCTAACCCTAACCCATGCATTCCTATGGGAAAAAATCAAATTTTTTTAGGAACGTCCTAGAGACTCGGGAGTTGGTTCATTGCACTCAGAAAAATCCTAGCTCCAAGCCCAACCCTAACCCTAGCTCCAACACTAACCCTAACTCTAACCCTAACCCTAACCCTAACCCTAGCTCCAACCCTAACCCTAACCCTAACCCATGCATTCCTATCGGAAAAAATCAAATTTTTTTAGGAACGTCCTAGAGACTCGGGAGTTGGTTCATTGCACTCAGAAAAATCCTAGCTCCAAGCCCAACCATAACCCTAGCTCCAACACTAACCCTAACTCCAATCCTAACCCTAACCCTAACCCTAGTTCCAACCCTAACCCTAACCCTAACCCATGCATTCCTATGGAAAAAATCAAATTTTTTTAGGAACGTCCTAGAGACTCGGGAGTTGGTTCATTGCACTCAGAAAAATCCTAGCTCCAAGCCCAACCCTAACCCTAGCTCCAACACTAACCCTAACTCCAACCCTAACCCTAACCCTAACCCTAGCTCCAACCCTAACCCTAACCCTAACCCATGCATTCCTATGGGAAAAAATCAAGTTTTTTTAGGAACGTCCTAGAGACTCGGGAGTTGGTTCATTGCACTCAGAAAAATCCTAGCTCCAAGCCCAACCCTAACCCTAGCTCCAACACTAACCCTAACTCCAACCCTAACCCTAACCCTAACCCTAGCTCCAACCCTAACCCTAACCCTAACCCATGCATTCCTATGGGAAAAAATCAAATTTTTTTAGGAACGTCCTAGAGACTCGGGAGTTGCTTCATTGCACTCAGAAAAATCCTAGCTCCAAGCCCAACCCTAACCCTAGCTCCAACACTAACCCTAACTCCAACCCTAACCCTAACCCTAACCCTAGCTCCAACCCCACACCTAACCCTAACCCTAGCTCCAACCTTAAAGCTGGTCTGTGGCTGATATCGGAGGCGATGGAAAGCCCTGTAGATCTTTTTTTTTTTCTTCACAGTATTATCTTGAGTGCATGAATGTTATATCCCCTGATTTAATAGAATTTTGTCAGGTTGGGGATAAAAGAGGGACAAAGTCAGTGTGCAGAAAAGACAGGCCGTGTGAGGTGAACAAAACATGTTTTATGGATGTATTCATAAGCCCTTCCCTTCCTCTCTTAAAAGTCAGCACACTTTAGTCCTTATGGTCACAGTTAAGGACGAGGTGTGTCCTCTGCTCTGCTGGGTGACAGACTCCCTGCCTTAGTCATGTTTTCATGCAGCCATTATTGGTATTCCTATTAATAATAACTGTGTTATTTGAAGACCTCAACTCTGTCACAAGGTGATAGATCAGGCACCCTAGAAACATTTATTCTTGACTTTTTTTATTGTGTTGAGAGACAGTATGGCAATAGACAATTGCTCTGAGATTACTAACACTTTTTTCTAACAACACTGTGAACTTTTGGAAACTGAAGACAGTAGGTTATGGAGACTTGAAAGTGAAATGCTGTCCTGCTGTTGCTCAGTTTGGGATGTCTGCTGCGTAACAGTTTCTGTCATGATGCTCTAGATGTTTTCAATGGGTGATAAGTCTGCACTGCAGGCTTATGTGTGGAAGGCAGCAAATGTTGCTCCAAAACCTCAGCTTTAATGGTGCAATCCCAGATCTGTAAACTTTGAAGTGATATGAAGCCCATGCGGTGGTTTACACTACAGAGTCATGTCTGTTTTTTTATGCTGTGCACAGCAAAAAGACTGTTAAAAATGATTTGTGATTAGACTTTTACATTGTACCAGCATTTAGAGACACTACGTCTTTTTACAGTTTACTGCCTACAGTAGAAAATGTCGCTGACGATTCAAAAGGGAACACTTTTACATGAAATGATTCTGTTAGAGTTTCAAGGCTTTGGCTGGGCTCTGTAACACACAGGTAGATGCAGCCAGAAATAAGATAGGTCCATTTACTTGCCTAATGGAGTATGAAACTACTGAGAGCCAAAAGGTGAATCATGGACCACTTTAAAGGCTTAAGAATGGTCCCACAAACCAGACTGCCATTGCAAGCTTGTGTATGTAGAGTTAGAACCACCATTTAAAAAAGATATCCTGGAGTTGTGAGATAGATCAGGTCACAAATGATTCTCGTCACTTTCTTTTTCCAAGTTTTTGTTATGAATGTTATTGCTTTACACTGGAGGACTGTAGATCTGCCCTGTAGATGGAAGTAAAGCCCCTTGACAAACAGGTACAGAGCATCCACCCCTATGTCAGCTCAGCTCTAATTATGCAGATCTTTGCAAAACTCTTCACCATGATATCCTCAAAACATAAAATTAATGAGCCTTTCAGAGATTCCAGGGATTTCCACCGCCACCCACAATGGCAGCTGGCACACCTAGAAACTAAATGCAGAATTAAAAAAAAAGAAATCTTTCTAAATCATTTTGTTCGAAAATTTTAAACTATTTTCATCACAAAAAATAAACAAACAAAAGCAAAACAAAACAAAAAAAACACATCAACCACCATGTAAGTAGCTGCTCACCTCACCGCAACCCACCATATTTAGGGACTATTGGCCAGGAGGATGTTCCTGCTCTTAAACTCTTATCGGTCTAATTGACATTTTGTTGTATACATATTTTCTTTTAAGTTACAGTACAAGGTTCGATCCATATTTTCGATTATTTTCTCACTTTTGCAGCATACCTCAACACTTGATAAACCGTTTTTTTCCTTTTTAACTGCTAATTTACTACAAGAAAAATCTGATATGGCTGTACTAACTTAACACTAATGGATGATTTCTACAGCACTGAAATAACAATAAATGCCAGAGGGAGAACATTCGTTTTAACTACATTCTCTTTACTTATTTCTGATTCTGTAAATGATAAAACAAGTGATGGTGGTGCACATTTAGTGATTTAGCCTAGTGTGTTCAATTATTTATTTATTTATTTTTGGGAAGCATAGAAACAATGAAGTATGAAAAACCCCAAAGGGTGAAAATCCTTTACTTTCACTTGGTTTGTTTCTTTAATGGTCACTGGCTGAGAAAGTTGGACTATTACATGTAAAGCTTCACATCACTAAAAAGATTACCCAGTATTGCATCTTTTACATCACATACTGAACAGTCACAACAAAAGCTTTTAAATGTTTTTCTTCTTTTGTCTCTTTGCTAAAACTGTTACACACTGATATATTTCTGCACTGAGAGTCAAGCGCTCCTTAATGGAGAACATGAACCCACCATAACCAACCTCATTGACCTCAAAACTCATCATTGCTGCAGCTACACGGAGAACAAACACACAGTCAACATCAGAGGAGAGGCACTCGAACAAGATGAGACTGTGAAGATGAAGTTTCCATCACATAGCACTACAGTCACAAACTGTTGTATTATATAAATCAATAGACCTCACTAGTCTGTCTAATAATGTGTCTTTAGGTTTATGATCACATGCAATTAGACTGAGACAAAATGATTAATATGGTGATTGTTACTTTAAGAAAATGATAAAGAAATGATTATAAGTGTTCTTCCTTGAGCTGCGTCACCCCGCTGCAGTCGATGATGGACTCGTCCGAGGTCTCCTTACAAACAAGCGACTGCTGGAAGAGAGTAGGTGAGTTGTGTTTAGTCTCTTTGCTAAAGAAATTAGGCAAAGTTAAAAAGATGTTTGATGGCTAGTGCTATGGCTGGGACCCCATATGTACTGTTGATGAAATTAGGCGCTGTTCATTTGAGAATGCTTTACATGCTTTACAATTGTGAAAAGAAGCATGTTAAGAATGCCACGGAAAAATAAACAGCAGATCAATACTTGGAGTCAGTTTGTTGGTGTCTTTAGTCGTTATCTGAATGATTGGAAGATAAGTAAAATTCTGAATCGTAATTGTTAAAGGTTGTAACAGCTGCTGGGGGGTTGATCTCATATTAGATGGTTTATGACGCTCTAAGAATAAAGAACATTTTCACCACAAGATTCACACTGAGTGACATCAGTTACATCAGTTTTCTAGTTTTGGACCGTTTACAAAAACATATTTCTCAACCTTGAATATTGCTTCATTCAAACTTTGTTAAGTCCTTTGTTTTTGAGCTGCTGTAACAAGAAAAATTCACCTAGTCGGAGATCAATAAAGTATAAAAGTATATAGTGATGGTTGTAAAAAAATAAAATTAAAAAAAGAACTGCTACTGGATAAGACAAGTGTTGCTCTGCATCAGGGTCTCACCCATAAGTGACTCCACAGTCATTTGAATGACCCACTCACCAAACATTATTTTATAGAGCAATGGAAAACATTGTTTCTTTAAACAGGTTGAACTTTGTCTTGCCTCTATGGCTGAAGGAGCAAACCTTTGATTTTGATTCGAATTGGTCATGTCCTCTTTGTTTGACCCCTAGCTCGAAGAAAAACAAATAGCAACTGATTCAGTGAAACACTCGAACAGAGGCAGAGATGAAGCCCGAGTCGACACAGCCAGGGGGATTTTACAGCTCATTACAGACTGGAGCCATGGAGTTTCTTATGCAACTCCCTGCCTGTGTTTTCTGTAGCTCTGTCTATGTGTATCTTGTTTGGGTGACAGGCAGAAACAAAAAGTGAAATATCTTGTTCCAAAAGTGCAGGAAGCAACAATGAATCATACAGCCAATTAAGCCTGCTATTTTCCATCTAATGCTTTATTTATTCCTAAACTTCTTTTTTCTTTAAAGCAGCATTTTCCCCCTTTGATTTGCCTGTTTACTCTTAGAAACTCCATTAAATGCAGTCCTGGTAAGACTCTCACCATGAAGCTTTGGATTAAAAAATGTCTGTTCCTCTCCGTGGGTGTGTACATGTTTTTAAAAAACACTGTAAGCCCTGCCTCCATCATTTTAAAAGATGCTTTGTTTTTCTTTTTCTTTGGGCTTCTGTCATTAAAGTTAGTTCTTATAATACATTTGTGAAGTTTTAATTGGTGGCTCAATTCAAAGTGAGGACAGATGAACAACTTTGTAGTCAAATACAGACTCCTGCAGCATTTTGTATCAGAGTAAAGGAGGAATGACTGAAGAAAGAATAACTCACACCTACACAAGAGGCTTTGAAATTTCCGTAGCCATACATGTCTGCTTCAAATCAGCACCAGAATCTGCTCTGCTGTGCACAGCTGAGGGAAGTTTCGTTGCAATCTTGTGGAGTACTGATCAGGGGAATTTGTTGGCAATGAGTTACGTCTGCACCTCACAACTACAAACACTACAGCGACAGAGCTGTCCTGTTGCTGCCTCTGTCAAGACCAGGGCTTCGCAGTTGCACAGAATGTGCACATTGTGGACTGCAAAGGGAGTCACACCTCCAAAACAATCTTTAAAACCAGTCCAATTTATACTCTCGATTTAATGGTACATCTCTTGTATCATCTTGTTTTTTTTTTAGCAATCAAGAGTATGAAGTCCCGGCCATAGACTGTGTATAGAATGGACGCCGTCTGCCTCCTCGCTGGGTGAGGCCACTGCGAGAACAGCACCCTCTGGTGACGGGCTGCAGTGTAGGTAATAAATCCCACTTCCTCCAGCAATCCCTATGGAGCCGCGGACAAACTTAAGAAATTTATTACACAGAATATAAATTTTTCTCCCCCCTGCTTGTGATGTTGACATGTAGTTACTGTAAGACTGGTTTGTGCTCAAGTCCTCTTTTTTTCTGTGCAGCTCCAGTTTTAAAAGTTATTATGGGGTTCATGTTTTCTACGATTGACACTTGATACAGCCAATGGGCGTACAAGACTGCATAGTTAACCCAGAGGATACGCTGTTTGAGTCGAGCTTCATCACAGCGACTCTCCCACCGAATGCGTACAACGCTACTGCGCAAGTGATGAAGTGAATACAACGCTACTGTGCAACAATGGTTTCAAGAAATTGAGAAAAATCATGGAAATACCGAGAGCTTTTCGGCTTCAAATCCGTATACTAGCGGAAAGCAGAACCAGGTTGTCCATAGTACATACAGCCTTTGGTCCCGGCACAGTCTATGACACTGGGATTCTTGTGAAACCCACTCCAAATAGAGTTTTGGATTTCTAGCGTGTTCAGATAGAGTTATTGCCTGCAGAGTTAATTGTTGATTTAAGTTTGTAGAACTCAAGTAAATGTTGTATTATCCCCTCTCTCTTCCTTTTCTTCAATCATCACCTGCCTTTACACCATCATTAGTCTGAGAAAGTTCTTGCTGATAACCTGATGGGTGGAAAAACAAACAGAGGAAATCAGTGAAACAACTTCTTCCTCATTTAGCATTTAAGCAAAGATGTGAAGACCATTTAACCAGACCATTTAAAGAAAAAAAACAGCTCATTTAGCATGCCTTTGGAAGACATCCATTAGGTTCGCCTGAATGAACTCCTCTGATAAATGAGAAGTTTATAAACACTCAGTTATGCATGGCTTAGATCATTAAGTTTAAAAGGCCATTAGTTGAGCAGCCCTGAGTGCACTGGCCAGTGTTCAATGCTACACACATCAGTTAGCATTGAGTTTAGGGTGCTTACTTTTTTGTAAAAAGAAGGAGTTTTAAAAAGTTCACCGAAGCTGTGGGCTTAATATTATGACCAGAGTAATGATTACGAATAAAAAGAGTAACGATCCATTTTTGTGATTCATCCTTTTTTAATAGTAGGTTAACGAATACAACACAGATTTATGGAAAAACATATTTTTAAAACGACAAAAAAGAAGTTGTTTGAATTGAAATTATTCTGCTATTATAGTTTTGAAATGACCCAAAATTAATTTAGGCATACTTAGAAAAAGGATATATGAACTACAGGCTCTTTCTAATGCACCTTTTTTATTTGTTTTTCTAGTCAGTAGCTATCGAGGTCAGATATTAGGCACTCCTGGATCATTAAAACTAATTCCTGTCTCAAATTAGCTGTTCTTATTCTGAGATGGGCAGCCAGCTTCTTTCTCTCCCCTGTTACCGTTTCTCACTTCTTTTTTTGACAAGCCTCTCCTGCTCTGAGCTTATCTGTACACCTATTCTCTCATCCAATAAGCAACAGGCCTTGGCTGCTTTACCTGGAATCTTGTCATTGTGTCAGGGAGGAAGTACTGTTTTATGTAAGCTAACTGACTTAAACATTTAGGCTTAAATTTGTAACTTATCTGATTTGACCATAACTACACGCGGTACTGTGTGCTGAGTAGTAGAGACATAATGAATGCTAGCTAAGGAGTCATTGTTCTTTCCACTCACCACCACTGCTTCAAATGGACTTTTTAAAAACCTGCTCTGCTGGAGACTGCACCACCTAAGAGAACTTTGCAATTTCACCTTTTAGCTAGATGTGTGTTCTGGTTATCAGAGGGAGCAGGATATTAATACCACAGTTCATCAAACAATCCCTACTGAGCAGTAAATTACACTCACCGGCCACTTTATTAGGTATACCTGTCCAACTGCTCGTTAACACTTAATTTCTAATCAGCCAATCACATGGCGGCAACTTAGTGAATTTAGGCATGTAGACATGGTCAAGACAATCTCCTGCAG